GACAGAAGAAGGAGCTGGCCGACACTGGAATGCCAGTGGTGGTTGGCGACGGTGGTGATAGAGGTTAGATGCGGTGGAGGCAGTGGTGAGGGGCGAGGAGGTGGCTGATGGGGGAGCGACAATAAAGGCGGAAGTGGATGGTGAGGACGATGGAGAAGGCAATGAGGGCGAAGAAGAGGAGCGCCGTGCACGGGCACAAGAGCACCATCGTCGGACCGAGTTCCTGTGGCGGGGAGCAAGTACGACTCTCTCTCCTGCCCGCCCGTGCCGCCTCCCGTCGGCGGAGATGACCCCCACAGTGCCGACGGTGAGGATAGAGAGAGAAGAGAGATGGGAGAGCTGACACGTGGGTCTAGGGGTATTTTTGACATTTCATGCGTTTTTCTCTCCTCTACAACTAGAAATTATTATTTTAATGGGTGCGGTGTCCGCTTACAAATTACCACGTTTATAGAGTGTCTTCCCCCAAAAGTCACTTTGCGTGGTGTCCTATAGCTAAAACCACAAAGTCACAATGTCTCATAGCAAAATTTCCCTATAAATAAAGAGTTAGCCAATGTAAATTATGAAGAATTGAAGAAGCCCTCAAAGTTTAATCCTAAAATCGAAATCAAGCATAAGCTAAGCCAAAGACTATACAATGGGCGAGGAGAGTCAATGACAATAATTGTGGATGATTGTGCGCACATTTAATTTAAAAAGAAACATGCAAACATAATTCCTATGGACCAATTTGCAGTCCAAACGCATGCTTTTGTTCGTTTAGACTCGAATGGATATTTATATACTCCCTCCATCCCAAAATATTTGACGCTGTTGATTTTTTTAAAAATGTTTGACCATTCGTCTTATTCAAAAAATTTAAGTAATTATTAATTTTTTTCCTATCATTTGATTCATTGTTAAATATACTTTTATGTATACATATAGTCTTACATATTTCACAAAAGTTTTTAATAAGACGAACGGTCAAACATGTTTAAAAAGTCAACGGTGTCAAATATTTAGAGAAGGATGGAGTAGTTTATTTCATGGAATGGTGAGACTCGAATAGCAGGCGGCCGGAAAATAAAGAATTAGCAAAAAAAAAATCATGTGCTGCATATGCAATTCTAGCGCCTATTAACTCAAGAGCAAAATACTATAATCCCAACCATATAAATTTGCCCGGGGGAAATGTAATGTGGTCAATTTAATTTTTTTTTGAACCCTCATGTGTGGTCAATTTATGCTACAGGGGGTCACCTTTTCCTGGTCATCGCTTGCGGTCCAACTGCATTTGTGTGTTATTTACGGCTTTACCCCCATCGACATTATGCTTGCAGCTTGCAAGGGCCCCAGCCTGATGAGTGACGACAACAAGCTCTTGCTGTTTTGTTCTCAGCCTTTTTTAAAAAAAAAAAGTTGTAGGGAAGGCCTTAATTATCATTTTCTATCAAATCTTTCAAACACTGAAAAAATCAATTTAATTTTACCTCAATGAAATTACTCCAGAACCATGATAAAAAATATCTTTGTGCATTGCTAGTTTCACTAGTACTATATATATTTAACCATATGATATTTTTACATGACGTTTCGTAGAACTTTCAAAACTTTAAATGTTGATGTTTTTTTTTTAAAAAAAACAGACTGGTTGGGAGGAAGGAGTACAAGCTAGGCTTGTTGTGTCATTTAAAAAGAAACTAAAACCACAATTTCTTATAATATAATAAATGAGAAGAACAAGATTGCACAGGAGAACCACCCATTTCAGAATGGTTGCCCATCGTTTTTTAAGTCAATATTAATTAGGAGTACGATCGTTATAATTTTTGTATTTATTGTGCCAGTTAAATTCTCCGGTACCAAGTGGATATATATAATGTTCATCGTTTTTTTTTTCTGCGTGTGTCAGAATGTGTGGTGGTGTGTTGGGGGACAAGCAAGAGGTACACATGTAGTAACATTTTCTTTATATTCAGTGCTTTTATTAGTTATTTTATGTATATAATGATTTCAAAATGGTCAGGGTAACGTACTACTCCAACTATATTAAATTTTTCTTGGTATCTACTCAACCATGATGTGTGCTAAACATGTGCGTTTTGTGTGGCATGGAAGAATTTTGGAACAATTAATTCGTTGTTCCTTACGAATATCGCAAAATATATATTGATGGTGTAGACGTGGGGGCTGCCGGTTGAGCACTTTGGCAATGAGTGGAAGGCCGTGGCATCATTCCATGAAACAATGACAACCATGAACTGACCTCCTAACAAATATGTAAACCCTTCGTTCCATAAAAAAAACGAATCTAGAACTGAATGTGATACATCCTACTACTAAAGACATTGATTTTTTTATGGTACGAAGGGAGTAGTGTACAAATTAATTTAAAAACATGCCCCTTAAAGACAAAAGTTTGATGCTAGTATTAGGAATTTTAAAATTTGAGTTAGGGGTTGTTTAGTTCGCGAAAAGAAAATTTTTGGATATCACATCGAATATTTGACCGGATGTCGGAAGGGGTTTTCGGACACGAATGAAAAAACTAATTTCATAACTCGTCTGAAAACCGTGAGATGAATTTATTAAGCCTAATTAATTTGTCATTAGCATATGTAGGTTACTGTAGCATTTATGGCTAACCATGGACTAATTAGGCTCAAAAGATTCGTCTTGCGATTTCTATGTAAACTGTGCAATTAGTTTTTTTATCTATATTAAATGCTCCAATGCATGTGTTTAAAGATTCGATGTAATGTTTTTGAGAAAAAAAATTTAGAAACTAAACAAGGCCTTAGTTGTGTAGGAAAAGAGATCAATGCTAAGAAAGAACAACAAAAAAATCTGTCCATGCACAAGGTTAACTTGGACCCACTCTCATTTGAGTTAAGACCCTGTTTAGATGGGACTAAAACTTTTTAGTCCCTATCACATCGGATGTTTGACACTAATTATAAATATTAAACATAGACTATTAATAAAACCTATTCTATAACCCTAGACTAATTGGCGAGACGAATCTATTGAGACTAATTAATCTATGGTTAGCTTATGTGATGCTACAATAAACATGCGCTAATTATGGATTAATTATGCTTAAAAAATTTGTCACGTGAATTAGCTCTCATTTATGTAATTAGTTTTATAAGTAATCTATGTTTTATACTCCAAATTCATCCGATATGATAGGGACTAAAGTTTAGTCCCTGAATCCAAACACCACCTTGCAACAGATCACCTCACCAACCCCTCCTCATCCACACACAACAGTCGTACCACAATTCTTAGGCCGAGTTTAGTTCCAAATATTTTTTTTAAACTTTCAACTTTTCCATCACATCAAAATTTTCCTACACACATAAACTTTCAACTTTTCCATTACACCGTTCTAATTTCAACCAAACTTTTAATCTTGGCGTGAACTAAATACACCCTAATATTCATCGTCCATTTGAGTGCTTGTTTGAACGTAAACTGTAGTTTAAAATTGTTGTGCTCCGTAGTTTGGTACTAGTAGTTGTGGCAGTGATCCCAACAGATTAAGGCTCCGTTCGTCACCTCCTTTTCTACGCGTATGCTTTTCAAACTACTAAATGATACGTTTTTTGCAAAAAAATTCTATACGAAAGTTGCTTAAAAAATTATATTAATCTATTTTTTTAAAAAATAGTAAATACTTAATTAATCATATAATAATAGATGCTTTATTTTGCATGCCGGGGGACCCCTCCTCCCAAACACATACTAAGGTATCACTGCATGCTCGCTTGCCGTCCTCTGTTCATCGGAACACTAGCTCTCTTCCCGCCCTATCTTTTATCTTCACTTCGTAGCCTAATTTGTCATATATATGTTCCTTTCTAACCAAGGGAACCACGATCCTTTTAAGCAAAGTAAGGCCTGGTTTAGTTCTAAATATATAAGTCAAGTAATTATGTGACAAAAAAAGGCCCACATCCAAAGCCCCTACATATTCAAAACAAGTTATTCCCCCCGGAGTACAAGAAATTGAAACAAAATGTTAAGCCATTATTTTGTTTTTATGGTGTATCGAATCAAACCAATCTTTTCATTTACTCCCTCCGTCCCATAATATAAGAGATTTTGCCTCTTCTAGTTGTCCCACAATATAAGGTATTTTGGTGTACTACTTGTCATATCCATCAATTCCAATTCATATTTCTACCTATTTTAACCCTCAACTAATCACTCACCTATAAACAAATCTCATTTAATAGGGGTATTATAGTATTTTCTTGCTATTCTTAATCTTACCCAAAAGGAAATAATCCCTTATATTATGGGATGAAGGGATGGATGGAGTATTTATGTAGCGGTACTCCCTCCATCCTATTTTAAATGTAGTTATATGTTTTCATATTTAACGTTTAACCAACCGTATTATTTAATTTTTTATGATAAGTATTTTTATTGTTATTAGATGATAAAACTTGACTCGTACTTGATGCGTGATTTATTTTTTAATTTTTTAAAAATAAAACAGATGGTCAAACATTAAACACGAATCCTCGCAACTACGATTAAAATGGGACTCGGAGTATCATTTTTATTCTTTGGAAACTACTACTCCCTCCGTTTCACAATGTAAGTCATTCTATCATATCCCACATTCATATTGATATTAATGAATCTAGACATATATATCTATCTAGATTTATTAATATTAATATGAATGTGAAAAATACTAGAATGACTTACGCCGTGAAACGGAGGAAGTAACGAAGAGAAAAAAAAATCCATCGCGGTATATTCCATTCCTCCATGTGGGCGAAAAAAGTCCAAAGCGTCCAAAAGCAAGCGACGACAAAAAGGCGCGAACACGAGTCAGCACCCACCTCGTCCCTTCCTGCCTTGTAGGGGCATTCTCGTCCTTTCGCCACCTCACCACCCGTCACTTTTTTTTCCTCGCTTTCACACTCGCTCGCTCGCTCTCGCCGTCGTCTAGCTCAGCTCACCCTCAGCTCAGCTCGGCAAAAAAAAAAAAAAAAGAAAAAGAAAAAAACACAAAAGCTTAGAAATAAAAAGTATCTTTGTCCACCTCGACGGCGCGCGCTCTCCTTTCGCCTTCGCCGAAGCTTCGCGTCGCCATCGCTGCGCCTGCGCGCTTCCTCCTCCTCCTCCGGTTTGGTTTAAATCCCCACCCGATTCCCCTCGCGGATCCCTCCCTCCCCTTCGGTTCAATCCGCGCCACCCTCCGACGACGGCGAACCGGCGATCGACGGCGCGTTTCTGGCCGGGTCGGGTGGTGGTGGTCGCATGGCGGAGACACGCAAGTTCTTGATGCCCAACCAGCCCCCGGGTAGGTTGTTCTGGTAAATTAAATCATATGGTCTGGTCGTCTCGTGGGGGGTTAGGGTTTTGCGCGGCGGTGAGATTACGAAGATTTTTGCTGGTGTTCTTTGGGGGTTTATGGGTGCGTGTGTTTGCTTTTAGATTCCTGATGCTGTTCGAAGGAATTTTGTTTTTTTTTTAAATTTTTACGGCGTGATGAAATCCCCCTCCCGCAATTCTGCTACCCATCTGAAGAAGAATTCGGAATTTTGTTTGGTGTTTTTGTTGCTGGTTTTTTTTTTGGCTCACTCTGCAGAAGCTTGAATTCGACTGGGGCGCCTCCTCGTTAGAATTTTCTACGATTTGATCTCTTGACTTTTCTCTCCAATTATTGAAACAGACAAAAAGTTTTTGTAAGACGGCATTGCAGAGTGTGGACAGCAGCTGGGTGGGAGTGGTTGTCGACGTTGACTAACTGATGACTAATAATTCTCGATTTATTATTATTTTGTCATTTTGCAGATATTTCGCAGATGGTGCTGGAGGCTAGGAAGCGATGGTTGCGACCCACTGAAATATGCGAAATACTCTCAAACTACAGGAGTTTCTCTCTCTCGCCTGAGCCACCAAACAGGCCCGGAAGTATGGATCATTGTCCATTTTTTCTTAAATTTAAGTTTCTTCCTCTGGTCTGCTGAACATCAGTGGACTAAATCTTTTGCGTAATCAGACAATTGCTTCACTTTTTGGATGAACTCCTAAGCGAAGTGACAGGGCGTAAATAGCGCGGCAGAGCTTTTCCGAGCCTCCCCGGCATGGATGCGTTGTGTGGGGATATGTGATGGTATGGTGGGGATCGAGTCGATGAGAGGGGGCGGATTCGTGTACTCGTGTAGATGGGAAGAATGACACTCATTGGATCTTAATCCACCATCTTCAGGTTCAACTGATATGGGGGAGAAGAAACACTGAATTGTCATGGTACAGTCACTCTGAATTGTATCCTATCCATATTTTTAGCTGGTAGCTGGGGACAGTTGATGTCACTTGAAGTGCTTCGCATCGGGAATTCGACTATTTACTACTCAAGGAAATGGTAGCATGTTGTTTGCACATCATATGGCAACCTCCCCATTCCTTTCCTTTCGTTCCTTCCACCGTGCCAGCGATGACCACCATTGGCCTCTATTTGGTTAGGTCCTGAACCTTGGAACACAGATAGAAAAATAGGAAAATCTGTTTGGAACACAGGAACTGAAAGCACAGGATTAGGAATCAGGCCCACTTTTTAAGGATGTGAAAGTGGGCCTAACCAAATCACCACCACACACACAAATATGGAAAATGAACAAGGCTCTGTTCCTCTAATCCAAACAGGACTTAGGCAATGTTTGGAAAATGGGTTTGGGATATGATTTCCCACCCCCTAAAGGGTAAATTTTAATCCTAGCCATCCATTCATCTCACTCCATTTTATCCTATCCTCCATTCATTTCCATTTCCCAATCCCACCTCTCCTAACCCATTTTCCAAACACACCCTTAGTGGCAACAGCTTGGGTTCCTCTTCCCCCACCTTATCTCTAGGAGGCTAGCCAGCCCGGTGACTGCAACTATGATGGTTAGTTCATGGGTGGTGCTAGGGTGGGGGTCACAAGCCCTATCAGTTATGTTAGGTAGGGAAGAGGCAGAGAGGGCACTGCCAAGCGTGAATGGTGACAGCGCATCAGGCACCACGCAGCTATGGTAGGTGAGAGTACTACTATGTTTAAGGGGATAGGTTGGTGGTGGAGCGTGTGGTGCTTGCTGTTGCAGTTGATTGGCAGGGTAACGCTTGGTTAATCAAGGCTAGTCGGTGTATACCTGTTACATCTTGAACATAATATAAAGGGAACCTATTTTCAAATTACACTCCATCAATTAAGATGAACATACTGACTATACCTCAGCAATCGCCACCTCTAATGTACTAGTGTGCCTTCTCACCCATTTGATATCTGGACACTTCAACTAAGCATATGATCCCAGCTCTCCAAATACGTTCTTGTTTTAGCATTTCACTAATGAATTTTTTCAGTCCCTCTCATCCTTTCTGAGGAGTGAGGGCACTGGCTGAATAGTTAAATAGCAAGCAGATTCAGTACAATGGGTTCTCCTGCCCATTGTATCACAAGAGGAATGCCTTCTCACAAGAGATTGCCTGTGCCTCCTGAGTGCTGAAATATATACCCAAAACATTACATGTGATTGCCCATCCACTAATCCTGGAACTAATTTGACCCCAAAAAACCTGGAACAGACAATCCAAGGGTGGTTTGCTTTGAAGTTGTTATATGTGACTTTTCCTAACCGTTTATTCTCTCTAGATGCTTGCTGCTTAAGGTTGTTGGTTTGTGTTGTCGTTGTTGTTTGAACCTTTTTATTCAATTTCATTAACATTTAACACTGATTCATGTCTGCATACTTAATTTGCATATCGTTGCTGTAGGTGGCTCTCTTTTTCTATTTGACCGCAAAACATTAAGATACTTCAGAAAGGATGGGCATAACTGGAGGAAGAAAAAGGATGGGAAGACCGTTAAAGAAGCTCACGAGAAACTAAAAGTAAGCAAATACGAGGTTTTCAGTTATGGGAAACCAATATTTGGAAGTTTGTCTATATGTGGTTGTTTTGTGCTTAAGGGTGTATTATGTCATATGGTCAGTTCCTAATTTCCAAGGATGTGGTCGTATATCCATTTACCCTCTGCCCTGTCCATCATAGACTTATGTAAGCCACCATGTTGACCGTACTTATTCCCCTGGCCATACTAATGCATGAAAATGTACTCAAGAATGTGACCTCACAAGTTTGGTTACAACTTTGATCTGGAAATATAAAAATGAAATTGTTGGCTTCACATTTACTGATAACAGATGATTTCTTGTAAATCTACCTCAAGCTATTTGTTTTATTCATTGGTGTTCACATATGTTTATTTTAACTCCCTTTTGGTTGTTGTCTGTCTGCACTAGTTTGCTAATGTGAAGCTCCTTAATTTAGGCTGGCAGCATTGATGTTCTACACTGCTACTATGCTCATGGAGAGGAAAATGAGAACTTCCAAAGAAGGACCTATTGGCTGTTGGAAGAGTAAGTGCAGAATATGGTGCTATGTTTATATTTTGTATTTCAACTGTAGACTCATTTGGATGGTATTGATAGTTGACCTGATATCCGAAGGAAAGCATGCACTGTGTAATAAAATGAATTCTCTTTACTTTTCAGGGATTTCACGCACATTGTTCTTGTACACTATCTTGAAGTCAAGGTATGGTTTATTTCATACTGTGTACACCAAGTATCTTGCTCTCATTTGTTCCTCTTTTTTTTTTCACCTTTTGCTTATCTTCTTTTTTTTTTGAACAAAGTATGACTTCCAGCCTCAGCATCAATCAAGGATGCACACAGCCATATTTGTGGACATCAGGATTTGAACCCTGGTGGATGGAGTCATGCACTCACGAGTCCACCACACAAACGATGCTTCCCTTGCTGTATCATGGGAAACTAAAAAAGTGGCTAATGGGGTTATTATCTAATGCGGAAATGGCCATTCGCCATCTATATTAGCCTATTAGGCACACTCTTGCTGCATGTGCAGAGCACAAAACACTCTTGGCTATCTATGACTTAAACTTCAGCTTTCCTTCTGTCTCATGCTACAACTCAGTTAAACCCCTCTGCATCTATGCCCCTTCCTCTAGACACTTCATTGTTCAACACCTTCCGATAGAGCATACATAAAGATATTATGTATAAAGTCATTTGTTTTAGAGATGATGAATTATTTTGTTCCATTGGGTTCTTTTCTACCCATATTTTCAAATATTTTTGTGTGCATCAGTACCTTCATAACCATAATTTTATCTGATTTATGTTTCTTGTTTATCTATGATTAACTTTCCAGGGTGTAAAGCAAAGTTTTAGTCGTGCTAAAGAAGAAATTATGCAGTTATCTGGTGCTGATAGTCCATCGTGTTCAAATTCGATTACTAGTCAGAACCAGATGACCCCACAAATAATGGATGCAGCTGAAAGCCCAATTAGTGGGCAGATTTCAGAGTATGAAGGTGCTGAACCAGGTATTGCCATTTCTCTTACTTTGTTCAGCACCATCTACTCTAAGTATAGATTTACTGATGCATATTCAATTATGCACCTTCTTTCAGTGTATCTAAAGCGAAATTCGGTGCAGCAGATAATTGCCCAGCAAGCTCCAGATACAACCCTCTCATTGAGATGCAGCAGCCTCTGGATGGAATCGTGATGGATAACATTTTATACCCTTCTTCTTCAGCCATCTGTAACCAAGGTATGATTCTTGCCTCTACATTCTAATTTTCTTGCTAATAATGGCTTTTAATTCATCTTTTCTTTTGCAAACAGTTTCAGGTTATCATGGTGAATTGCCACCAGGAACATCTAATCTAAATGGTCATACATTTTCTCACAGTGACATAGCTAGAATGTTTGATGATTCCAGCTCTGGGCTAAGAGACATTTCCAGAACCCTGTTTGATTCAATGCCTTACGATGAGCATTTCTCAGGATATGCAAATGGATTCATGGAGCCAACTCTTCATTCTTCTTTTTCCATGATAGAGGCTAACAATCTGGAGGATAGCTCTCTTCTGGAGACATATACATCTGAAGCTCTTTACACTAACAACCTCAGCCAGAAGGAAGCTGATGCACTAAGTTTTGCTGGCATATCATCGCCAGAGGTACTTCATTACTGTCTTGTTAACTTTCTTGATATGTTGGATGGAGATGGGGATTTGCTTAGCATGTTAGTCAGCCCCATGAGTGTAACCACTTCAAAATAGTCTATATAGACAAACCTCAGAGCGCATTTGCATCTTTCGCTTGTAGCCTCTTTGGGTATCTAGTTTGTCCTAGTTGAATTCTCAATTCAAATCTTGAACAACTGTTGTGTTGACAGCAACATAACACATTCATTCAATATAACTCTTGAATTGACAACAATATTAAAACAAAAGAAAACTGGCAATGTAACAACATGCTATGGAAGCTAATGCATGTCTAATGTTATGGCCAAAAAAAAAAAATCATCCTTTTGCAGATAAAAAAAGTACCAAAATATTGTACTTATCTACATACTGAATTTCAGGTGAATGGTAATAAATATACTGAAGGAAGCACCAAGCATCCGCTCCTGAAGCAATTGTCATTAGATCTATTTAAGATTGAGTCTTCTGGTTTAAAGAAACATGACAGCTTTTCAAGGTGGATGAGTAAAGAACTTGGAGAGGTGGTTGATTTGGGTATCAAATCAAGTTCTGATGCTCTCTGGAGTAGCATTGAGATTGTGAATGCTGCCGATGGTCCTAGTGCACCAACTAATGAACAGTTAGATGCTTATGCAGTGAGCCCTTCACTTGCGCAAGACCAACTATTCAGCATTCTTGACATTTCACCAAGCTGCTCATATATTGGTTTGAAGACAAAGGTATGCAATTTGTTTTACATTTCTAATTATTGTCAATCTTAGGATATGCACAATTTTGAGTCTGTTGAGGCCTTGTAAGTTGATAATATTATGGTTACTTGATTAGCAATCTGCAGTAACCACCTATCCTTTTGCAAGTTATTAAATTATTTTACACACGCAGGTTCTGGTAACTGGTACATTCCTGGCAAGTAAAGAGAATGTGGAAAATTGCAAGTGGTCATGCATGTTTGGGGATGTTGAAGTACCAGCTGAGGTTTTAGCTGATGGTTCCCTACGCTGCTATGCACCAGAACATCAATCTGGAAGAGTTCCCTTTTATGTGACATGCTCAAACAGGATCGCTTGTAGTGAAGTGCGAGAATTCGAGTACCGGGATTCTGATGCTCAGTACATGGAGACATCACATTCTCAAGCCAATGGTATAAATGAAATGCATCTACAAATTCGTCTTGAGAAGCTACTCACTTTGGGGCCAGATGACAATCAACTGCTTGTTTGTGGAAATGAAAAACTTGAGTTAATCAATGCTATAAACTCCCTGATGCTTGATGAGAAATGGTCAGATCAGGGATCACCATCCGGCTCTAAAGATGTTGTCACCCCAAGGAACCAAAGTTTAAAGAAATTGATGAAAGAAAAGCTTCATTGTTGGCTTATCTATAAAATATATGATTGTGAGAAGGGCCCAAATATACTGGGAAAGGAAGGACAGGGTATAATTCATTTGGCGGCTGCACTGGGCTTCGATTGGGCTATAAGACCAATACTAGTTGCTGGTGTCAATGTGAACTTTCGGGATGCTCATGGATGGACTGCACTTCATTGGGCTGCGTCTTGTGGAAGGTATTTTCAGACAACTATAGAATTTTCAAATAGATAATGGGTATGGTGTACAAACACTTAATGTAAAAAGAACCACCTTGCTCTTCCATCCCTAGCCACTTGGTATAATTGACTGAGTCTTGATAAAGCTTCCATTATCTAAAATGATTAGGAGAGGGGCATGCGGAATATGTCTAAATTTCATGAAACTAAATATCTTGCAGCTATTTCTTTTTCTATTACATTGAACCCATGTTATTATATGCTTTGTAGAGAGCGAACAGTGGGCGTCCTTATAGCAAATGGAGCTGCAGCAGGTGCATTGACAGATCCTACTTCTGAATTTCCTTCTGGAAGAACTCCAGCCGATTTAGCCTCTACGAATGGACACAAGGGAATTGCCGGTTTTCTCGCGGAATCTGCTTTGACAAGCCATCTGTCAGCACTTACTTTAAAGGAATCAAAAGATAGCAATGCGGAAGAAGCATGCAGATTAACAATTCCTGAAGATCTCCCTGAAATGAATTATGGTCAGCTTGCTGTACAGGATTCTCATGCTGAATCATTAAAGGATTCATTAAGTGCTGTTCGTAAATCCGCTCAAGCTGCAGCTAGGATATTCCAAGCCTTCAGGGTGGAATCATTCCACAGAAAGAAGGTCGTGGAATATGGAGATGATGATTGTGGATTATCTGATGAACACACATTTTCACTTATTTCTCTTCAAAAGGTCAAACAAGGGCAACATGATACACGTTTGCATTCTGCTGCTGTACGTATCCAAAATAAGTTCCGAGGATGGAAGGGAAGAAAGGAGTTTATGATCATTCGCCAGAGAATTGTGAAGTTACAGGTACCCTTGTAACCTTTTTCTTCTAATCTTTCTTAAGACTACATCTACTGAATTCCCATGATAATATAGGATTTCAAATAGCTCCTTCTAGTTGATATACAATTTTCCTATAATCTGGTAGTTAATAACAACAGGAGACCTTGTGACGTAGTTCCTTACAAGTCTCTGCTTTTCAGTTTGAGAATAGATCATTCACATTGAATTTATCAACTTTATATTTATTTGAAAAGGTCCTGCACACTGCACAAATAAATTAATTTTTCTTTAATTGTATTTGGCCAATTGGCCCAGCTGCAGCCTTGAAGCTAAATGTCAGTTCTCGTATTCTATTTAGTTCATTCAGTCAAGGTGGCATATATCCTGATTTAAAGTCAGTAATTTTGATATGCCACCTTATAGTTATACAAGTAGTCAGTACTTATTGTACTGACAAGTTGTTAACATCTTTAGTTTCTTTTGTTGATTCAATGTAATGCCATATTAGATGACTTGTCAATAGTCCTGTTCAATGATGATATTAATCTTGTAAATATTTTTTTAATCATTAGGCTCATGTGCGAGGACATCAAGTGAGGAAAAACTATAAAAAAGTAGTCTGGTCAGTAGGTATTGTCGAGAAAGTTATATTGAGATGGAGGAGAAAGGGACGTGGTTTGCGTGGCTTTCGACCTGAGAAACAATTAGAAGGCCAGACACAAATCCAGCCTGCAAAAACAGAGGATGAATACGATTACTTGCAGGATGGCAGAAGACAGGCTGAAGGCAGACTACAGAGGGCACTGGACCGGGTGCGCTCTATGACACAATACCCAGAAGCAAGAGAACAGTACCGTAGGCTTACAACTTGTGTTGCTGAAATGCAACAGTCCAGGGTATGACTAATACTACTCATCTCTTACCAGATAGTCACACTATTCTGGGTCATGCATTAGTGAAGGAAAAATGTCTAATTTACCACTGCTCTATCTTGCTTTTATCATTCGTTCCTTTTTTTTTTCCAATAATGACAAACTGATATCTTCCTCAGCTAGACAACCGAAATCTGAAAATGCTTCATTTGCTAAAGACCATTAGTAAATCATTTGATTTCCGAGCCTAGTTGTTTATAATCAATCATCTTATATTCTTCTCTGTTAAGGCCCAATCTTCTAGTGTACTCTGATAACCAGGTACTACACTAACAAGCACTAATTCACAGCACGGTTTTTGAAAAATAAAATCAAACCGAAGAAAGACTTCCATTACTTTCGTTAGCCTTTCCTTTTTTTTTTCTTTTCTCTTTTTCAAAAACAGCCTATATATCTGTTTGAATCTTGCTTAGCCTTTGGTGATTTTGGGCAGATGATGCAGGACGAGATGCTAAGTGAGGCAGCTGGTGCTGACGGAAGTGATTTCATGAATGGACTGGAGGACTTGATATGCAGAGACGACCCCCAAATGTCTGCCATTTGGTGAAGTCGAAGTTGTTACATCAGTTAGGCTGATCATTGCCTTGTTCATTGCCATATTAGCCTTGTAAATTCTTCCGCTTGTATTTCACTCACTGCTTAATATCTAGCTCATGCTGTTAGTATTATGTAACTCTGTGCACTGATCATAATAGAATATTTCTCTCCTGTATGTTACAGGTAGGTTATGCACCAGCTGTTCATTTTATTTATTTATTTTTTTGCTAGAATGACCGAAGGAGGTCATTCAATGTAAGTAAAATGACCAGCTGCTCATTTTACTTGCGATGCAATGATCTGGGCAATCGAATATATAGGTAGTATTTGTTCTTCTTGGCTATGTAGATGATACTTTTATGGTATAAAAGTATTTTAGACAGATACTATTTATATAGTATTTTCACGTCATATCTAGGTACACATATAACTCACAATAATTCCATTTAGTTATCTATAATTAATTGATATTAACAATATGATTATATAGAGAACGATGTACAACGATGGTATTAAGCTGTTTAGACTGATAGATGATCAATAGACGACACTATTTTCTCTTCACCTCAACGGAAAAAAAATGGGCTCGTGCAAACGATTTGACTGTAATATCGAGCCATACAAGTTTCCATTTTTTTCTATATACTTTACATGTTAATTAAAAAATGTAAAGTACCTCTGTTTTAAACCAAGTTAATTTAGTAAAAGACATGAGAGTTACTCCATCTGTTTCATAATGTAAGTCATTTTAGTATTTTCCATATTCATATTGATGTTAATGAATCTAGATATATATAGAATGACTTACATTGTGAAACGGAGGAAGTAATTTAGTAAGAGATATGAGGCTTGTTTAGATTCGTAATAGGATGTGTAATGTGTTATGTCCTATATTAGATTAATTTATTTTAGGACTGACTGACGGTGTAGTTAGCAGCGGTTCTGCACCGGTTACTATCTCCATCGATTGGAGTTGTTACTACATTTTTTTTTAATCTTAGTTAGCGTTCAAATTCAAGTTGTTCATGCGTCATCACAAAATAGTGATTACAAAATGGGGGCAGAAGTACAGGTGGGGGAAGAATATCGGACGAGACAATCGCACATTTGCGCCCACGTTACCCTAAATCTCTTGGATTCCCGTCGATAAAAAAAATCTATCGATTTTGCATATATATTGCTCTTGCTGCATATGGCTTAATTTACAGGCGTGTCATGACGACGTTTCGCTGATGCAAAATGTTTAACTTAAACATATCTAGTTGTAGTACTACTAGCTCCCGAAGACAGGAGCTCTCCTGGGCAGGAAACATATCTAGTAGTACTACTAGCTCCTGAAGATAGGAAGTCCTCCACCACGTAGGATTTTTAATTTTGGGCAGTTATGGTGACCATGGAAAATGTTCCTACTATCGGCAAGCCATAGTTTATCCAAGTCGTCCTCGCAACATTTTATATTCATGTCAAGCCATAATTTGTCTATGTTATGGTTTGCTAAACTTAGCTATGTACGTTTTAGTCTATATTAAGTCAAACATTTTAATCTTAGACTGTAAACTTTTAAGATTTAGGTATGGTTTAGTTCCCAACTTTTTCTTTAAACTTCTAATTTTTTCATAACATCAAAACTTTCCTACACACACAAACTTCCAACTTTTCTGTCACATCGTTTCAATTTCAATCAAACTTTCAATTTTGGCGTGAACTAAACACACCCTTAATGTTTTCAAATTTGTCATGAGAAATACTTCCATAGTATTATAACTCATTCGTATATTGTTAATAAACTGCATGTTTTTAAAAATAAATATGTTCACTTAGGACAAAATAAAACGATAATAGCGGGGAAGTGCCAAACACCCCCTTAACCACTTCACAATTTTGGCCCAAATACTTGCAACCTCTTAGGACTTTTTCTTTTTTTCCCCCTAATAGCAGCTTTCTTGTTTTTGCCGCTGTCTAGTTTATTTAGAGCACTAACAAAATTTAATAGCCAAAGTAAGCGGACTTTGCTAAGTGGCAAAAGAAAAAAACGGCTGTCTTAATTTTTATAGCGCTCTCTACTGGTTGGTGCCATCGATTATTAGTATTTTTCTCACTATATCTTTTTGGGTATTTTCCGTCTTCTAGATCGATAGCCATGCATGCATGCATGCATGCATCTTTATCCTGCAAAATCTTGGTCTCAAACTCTCCCGTGCCATAGGCTCATCGTGTTTGCTCTGATCGGGAACGAGGGGATGGCTCACCTACAATGCACGACCTTAGCTATGCAAATTTATAGTTTGATCCCTTCACGTCCTTATTTATTGGACTATTATAACCCTCTTTGCTTCTACTATTACTAATTGAATACTTCAGTATCACTACTGAGAACTTATCTTTACTGGGTTGGCAAAATTAAACCACATTAGTTCGGGTTTCTATTCTAACTTGGAACTAAACATCTGTTTTTTTTATCCCGGTATAAAATTATCACGGGACTTAGATGAATACCAACCGGGACTTAAAAATTTAGTCAACCCATATTTAGTCCCGGTTGATTATAACAACCGGGACTAAGATTAAAAAAATTACGGCTACCCTGAGCCGTGTGCCTCCTCCTCTCCCAGCCTCGATCTTATCTCTCCCAGCACGCCTCCTCCTCTCCACTCCTTCTCCTCTTCCCCTCTCCATCCTTCTCCTCCTCCCCTTCCTCTCTACGTCGCAGGCGGCGGCCAGCATGGAGGGCCGCGCCCGGCGGGGTCGTCACGCGAGGAGGTCAGCGGCCGGCGCGGAGGGTGGCCGTGGTGGTCGCCGTGGGGTTTTTTTCTTTCTTTTTTCCCTCTTAATTTGTGAATGATTGTTTGTTGAGGATAATTTGTTCATTCGATCTGTGATTTGAGAATGATTATGTTGTTGCGGATGATTTGGGATGATTATGTTGTGGATGATTTGGGATTATGTTGTTGTGAATGATTTGAGATGATTATGTTGTTGTGGATGATTTGGGATGTCGGGAGATGATATTTCGTTGTTGGGGATATCGGGCGCAAGATATGCAAAATAGAAAAAAAAAGAAAAAAAACTTAGTCCCGGTTGGTAACAGTACCAACCGGTACTAAAGGGACTAAAGTACTAAAAATGTACATCTTTAGTTCCGGATTTGTAGTACCGGTTTACAACCCGGGACTAAAGGGGTTGTAAACCGGGAGTGAAGGTGGGTACTCCACTAGTGTATAAACATCTAAACCCCTTTGGATCAATTAGATGAAGGGTTCACATCGATTTTCTACTACTAGTAAAAGCACCGCAGAAAATTTACTTGAAAATAATTCTAAGCGAAGCTCTTTGAAAAATGTGAGGTGTCTGGATATTTTTATTTTATTGGGGGCAGAGGGTGCTACCCTTTGGAACATTAAGGGCCCGTTTAGTTCCCCAAAATTTTTTCCCAAAAACATCACATCGAATCTTTGGACACATGCATGAAGTATTAAATATAGATAAAAAGAAAAACTAATTGCACAGTTATGGAGGAAATCGCGAGACGAATCTTTTAAGCCTAATTAGTCCGTGATTAGCCATAAGTGCTACAGTAACCCACATATACTAATGACGGCTTAATTAGTCTCAAAAGATTCGTCTCGCGGTTTCCAGGCGAGTTCTGAAATTAGTTTTTTCATTCGTGTCCGAAAACCCCTTTCAACACGGTCAAACGTTCGATGTGACACCAAAAAATTTTCTTTTCCCCAACTAAACACACCCTAAGCATTGAGGGTTTGGTCGGTATGTATTGCACTAATTGGTGTTGTAACTTACGAAATGGGCTAATGAACCATTTGGGCTCCCCTGTCAATGAAGATGCCAGTTGCCATATTTACCTTTTACTTTTATGTTGTCTTCTACGGGAAACTATTTTATCCCTCGAGAGGATGTTTCCTCGTTATTTGCATACCATTACGAATTTTTTTTAAAATAATAAGAAGATGTATTAACATGTGATATATCACTTCACAAACATACAAGTTCAAATTCAATTTCTATATTTCACAACGTAAAAACAAATTAAACTACAGCTAATTAACGTATGTTCACAACTAAATTTGTCCTTTTCGTTGTGATATGTAGAAGTTGAATTTGAACTTGCATGCTTGTGGAGTGATATATCATATATTATACATCTTCTCAATTGTTTTCAAACTTTTTGAGATGTGGAAGTTGAATTTGAATTTGCATGTTTGCAGAGTGATATTTCATATATTATACATCTTCTCAATTATTTTTAAACTTTTTAATAACTATTTGAGTGGTATACAAATAACGAGGGGACATCCCCTCGAGGGATCAAAATCCACTCCCTTTATTCTACCTTACCAAATTATCATCCTTCTTTTTTGTGTTTCAATCCATTTGAAAATATATTTTCCAAATTTACTCCTAAATTGTAAACCAAAAATCCATATATCAAGTAACAGAAATACAACTATATAGGCCCAACTTAACGTATGGTATGTAAGCAAAGGAGGCAAGATGCATGCATGTCGTTGATGTAATGGTATGTAGAGATGAAGCTAACTACAACACCGTGATTTTCTATATGAAGATTGCATATATATATATATATATATATATATATATATATATATATATATATATGACGTTGATCAATAAACAAATCTAACATTATTCAAGTTATCTTCATCTGTTATCATTATATTTTTTTCAATTCCAAAACTAATTGGTTAATTGCAATTGTGTATCCAACGGTAACGGTGGAGGCCAAGTATATAAATTAAACCATTGATTTCGATCATTGAAAAAAAAAACGACGATATGGTATTACATATCCACAAAAGACGAACTTCATCAGATAGCGAGACACAGTACATGCCTGCGATCGATTTTTATGTTTTTATATGCCTTAGTTTCCACCAAATTCAAATATCAGCAATGCTTTTCATTCATGTACAGGGCCAGCCAGTCACCATCGCTGCATGCTACGGAACAATTAACACGTCGACTCGATTAATGTCTGATGATTACGACACCCTTAATCTTCTACACTCTCACGCTCTAATTACATCAGAAATCTAGATTACTGGATTGCAAATCATCGATGGCGTTCGCACTGCACAGCAACGCCGTCAGCTCCGAGGGCAGAAACTCGCCGCCGCCGCCGCCGCCGCCTCCGTGGTGGCCGGTCACCGTCGCCGCGCCGGCGAAGGGCGACACGGCGCCAACATGGTCGCCGCCGATGTGATCTTGCCACCGTTTCAGCTCGAGAGGCTGGCTACCACCGGGTACCACGAGAGAAGGGAGAGGAGTCGCGGCGGCGGCGGCGTAGGACGCGACGGCTTGGGTCAGGAAGCTGCTCGCCGCGTTCAGCTCGGTCGGGTGGCCGCCGCCGCCGCTCGTCGCCGAGGTGGCCGGCGTCGTCTGTGGCTGGAGGAGGAGGTGCTGGAGGCACTGCAGCTGCGCCGCCGCCGCGTCGGCCTGCTGGTAGTCGACGGCGCCGTTGGCGGCGCCCCACGCACCGCCGGCTGCGGCGGCGTGGCCGACGGCGAGGTCGACGGCCAGGCTGGCGAGCGCCACCAGCTGCGGGAGCGCGGTGGCGAGGTCCCCAGGCGCCGGCGGCCGCGGCCGCGCGCGGTGCGTGGCCGGGTCGATGCCGGCGCCGATGAGCCTCTTCTTGAGGCGCGTGTTCCAGTAGTTCTTGATCTCGTTGTCCGTGCGCCCAGGAAGGCGTGTCGCGATGGTCGACCACCTGTGGACGGACATACATAAGTTACTTAACTGGTCGGTGCACGAAACATATGTCTTGTACATCATTCCGATATATTGATGTATGTATGTTTCTGACATAATTTTAATGTCTAGATTCGTATCTAGATGTTATGTTGTTGTTTTTTTTTTTGGAGGAAGCTAAATTGAGTGTATCACTATTACTAGGATGATAAATTTTGATGTACATACTTATTGCCGAGGACGGAGTGGAGGGTAATGATGGCCTGTTCTTCCTCAGGAGTGAAGTTGCCTCTCTTGATGTCAGGCCTGAGATAGTTAATCCATCGCAGACGGCAGCTCTTGCAGCACCTGTTGAGCCCTGCACATATATATTGTATAAATTTCATGAGTTTTTCTGCATATATATGGTTAATTAAATACAAAGAACATATAATTAAGCAGCTAGTTAAAGCAAAGATATGTAGATGCATATGTACCGGCTCGCTTGGGGAGAGACCTCCAGCTGCCATGGCCGCCGTGCTGGTCGACGTAGGCGACGAGCTTCTCGTCCTCCTCCCGCGTCCACGGCCCCTTCTTCACGCTGCTCTCGTCGCAGCACGGCGGCCTCAGTCTCCCCATCGAGCTAATTGCAATCTCTCTGACGAATCAAATACTGCTCTCGCTTTTGCTTGCTCTCCCAGCTGCTGAAGCTGATCTCTCGATATGATCGATCGTCGGTTAATCAGTTTGCTCCCTGCACTGCTGCTCTGCTAGCTATATCCGCTGATTTGAATGTTTGATGCATCTGTTGTTTGTGAGTTTATAAAGGCAGACGATCGATCGACTGGCAGTGGTCACGCCACAGCCCTAATTTTAATGCAAGTACCGACCTACTCTCGAAAATTTTATAGCACGTCCATCTCAATTAGCGTAATTAATTAAATGGACACTAGTACGACGATGATGCTGATACACATGTGATTCATACTTGCATGCGTGCTGGATATACATGTAGACGTGTAGTATACAGGTCTATGGATATATGTCCTGTAAGCTGTAATGCATGCACCGTGCTATCTAAGCTAGCGAAATTAATTAAACAAGGTAATTAACAATTTATTATCTAATTTAAAAAAGGTGATTAACAGATAACAGATCTCAGAAAAGTAATTTGTTTGCCTGAGACTGATCGAGAGCTAGGTTTCCTAAGCTAGCTACCGCCAACTAACATCTCGATCTCTTTCATAACTTAAAAAAAAAACATCTCGGTCATGCCCTCCAATATTCTCCGGCTGCTATGAATCTATGAATCTCATATTGGATATATATATCGCCCGCCTACAAATCTAAAATAAAATCGAGTCATGTTCTGAATGTGCAATATATCTGAAAAACAAAAAAAAAACTCTTTCTGTTCTTTCTTTTTTGTTCTTTCAATGTAATGCAACTTATATGTCTCACAATCACAAATCCCTTCGTTACAACCAGTAGGTACGTAATAACTCTCCTGCATATATGTTCATCCAGTTACTTAATTAGATAGCTAGGGACGCACTTAATTACCTAGCTAGCTACAATTAATTGTCAGCTGCCTGTTTGATCGATGTACATGCTTACTACACCATGACACACACAGACATGCATTTTCTTTGGTCCAATATTATAAATAAATATATACCTGTACTATACGTAGAAAATAGGTGACCTTGCTTGCTTCGATGGAGAACGAGAATCTCTCTCCTTAATTTTCTTTTCACAAAGCTGTCACTTTGATTAGAGTTGGTCAGTTGTTTAGAGTAATTCTCTAAATGGTATGCTTGCAGTTATCACAACTAGCAAGGGTTTGGTCCTATTAATCATATTATACATGGTCCATCAATCTGTGGCGAAGTGAAACATGGTCGAGATGCATGCATGGTACAACGTGTTAGAGTTTGCTGTGTGACAATAGGATGGTATATATTATTTTTCCTACTAATCAAAATAAAAATGTTTCAATCATGAAACGGTTAGAATCCCAAAAAAAATACTACGATATATGCTGAGTAATTGTTCTAGCTAGGTTTTTAATTTACAAGGGAGTAAGGGGGGGCATCTAAATCCAATTTACACCGCTCAAATACGAAATCAGACAAATTTTACACCCCTCGTCTAATTATCCCCCCTCCTCCCCCCCCCACCCACACCGTGATGTGGCCTTTCCTTCTCCCATCTTCTTCCTTCCCCTTCGCTGTTGCGGTCTCCTCCCTGATCTTCAGTTCCACTCCGTCGACGCGTGGTCCTAGAGTGTCACCGCCTTGTTAAACTCCACTTTTGTTGGCGTCTCTGCTAGATGTCATCATTAGTGAGGAGGTTGGAGGAGAGGAGGACGGTGTTATCGTGGATTAGCAGAAAAAGTAAAAAAAATTGAGGGAAGAAAAGTAGAGGAAATGACAGCCAATAGCCTCGATGCCATGTAAACGTAATATAAAACCACTCCTTGGGGGTTCAAATAATCATGTTTGAATAGATTGGGGGTGTATTTTATATAGTTTCATAGTTGAGTAGGGTAAATTGTACTTTTACAATAGCTGAGGCATAATTCGGATTTAACACTATATATTATTGAAACTTCTTCCGATGAATTACTTGCATATATACAAGACTTGCACCAAGCTAGTCAATTTGGATACATAGTATATTGTTTCTTCAAGTTGGTAGATAGTACTAGACCATTACATGAACTTTGAAGCACGCATCCATTTATTAATTAATTAAGAGTAAATCTGATAAATGCTCTATCGCATACAAGTAAGAGCATGACTTGTTAAATACCATTGCAATGAAACCTCATAAAAATTGCATTATAGATGTAAATAAATATGGACAATAATACAATTTAGATCATTTTCCAACCCCTAACATCCATTCAGGTGAGGGAAAAGGAATCACAAATAACAAATTTGCACTTGTCGTCTCTACTTAGGCATGCCTATATATATGTATGATACATGAAAAATATCAAATGAATTAAGTCCAAAAACTCCGTCACAAATTCAGAGAGATGCATGAACTTTTTAAATATCTGTCTGGCTAGGACAGCTGGCATAGAAATGTTAATCTATAGCAAGATATTTACTATGTAATCTAGTTCTGATACTTCCTCCGTTTCATATTATAAGACTTTCTAGCATTGTCCATATTCATGTATATGTTAATGAATCTATACATATATATGTGTTTAGATTCATTATAAGTACCCACTATATGAAACGGAGGGAGTATTTATTTTACTTGCTACGTACTCCCTCCGTACTCATAAAGAAAGTCGTTTAGGACAATATTTAAGTCAAACCTTGGGAATATAAATCATGAATAACTCTCAAATTATTGAGTTTGAAAATGTAAAAATTATATGAATAGATTTGTCTTGAAAAATACTTTCATAAAAGTATACATATATCACTTTTTAATAAATATTTTTATAGAAACAAGAAGTCAAAATTGTGTTTTAGAGACCGTGTCGCTGTCCAAAACGACTTCCTTTACGAGTACGGAGTAGTACTACGGAAATTTATAAGTACCCATTAATTAACCCTTCTTATTTTTTCCCAACGGCATATATACAAAATTTCACACATAATTCGTCTGCATCGATCTGCATGTGTGCATATTTTCCTTGATAGATCTTGCTTGCATGAGCATATGCGTGCATATATATGCCCCGTGTGATGCATGCACCTGTTCCAACTTGCCTTAAAACTAATGTTGGACGGGCAGCTGCAGCTGCATGCTGAGGTGACTGACTACGGCACTATGCTTGCATCTAATTAATCAAACGTTTAATTTTTGTGTGCCCCAGGTTGTTAATTATCGTCGTGGGCATATCTTGTTTCTACTCACAATGATTGGTTCCTCCATTATTTTGGTGCCAAATTAATTAAAACTGACCTGACTAACCTTGTTGCTTGCTACGACCAGCAAGCAAAACAATCAAAATCTTGATGTTCGATAGATCGAGGCAGAAAGTTGTGATAAAAAAAATTGTCGATCAGTTTGATATTTTTTTCCTGGTATATATAGTTCAACTTGCAATAACTATCAATGAGTGTATCTCCGATGTTGATTCTTTTGACTTTGACAGCAAATATTTGCAGGTGTAGCTAGCACAAGTCTACGGCCGGTTCAAATCTGCTTGATGCTGGTCTCTCGCACCACTGAAAGTTGCACCATGCATATATATTTTGGAAGGAATTTGGAAGGGGGATGAATTGAAGTGGAAGGTTCTAAACTATTTTACTGTACTGCAAATATATATTTTGTGCACATATTGTCCACCAAATTAATTTTTTTATGTTATATATGTCGTGTCTTAACGACCTCTTAGAGTTATGACTTGTGCACTTACGTCGTCTCTTCATGATCAACGTATTCTCTAGGACAGGAGCAATTAATAGGTGCTCATACTGTTTCAAAATTTTTGAAGAATATTATAGTACTTCAAGATAGGGGTAAAAACAGCGGTGGCAATTCCTGACGGCCGGTATGGAGAACAAACTTTTTTTTTTTACTATTTTTAAACCTTTTTAATTTTTATTTTAAAAATAAACTCTCTTAAAATGTATTTCCAACTTTAAACTTGTTGGTCATGCCAGCCACCTAGCGTGTCTAGATAACATTGTCACCAATCTATCTAACCTGGCAAAACTCTTGTGACACTGACATGGTGAAAAAATTTAGATTTGGAAATAAAATTTAGGATAGTTTATTTTAAAATTTTAAATTGTCTAAAAAAGTAAAATAACATTTCTATAACCGTCTCTATAGAAATATCGTTTCCAACCGTTTTAATCCCTATTTCAAGATATGACATACATGACGTGAAAAATAGAAGAAACCAGTAGAGAACTTAATTGCACTTTTATATTTTGGATTTTCTCAAAACTAGTTACAGGTATGGTATTGAATGTACATATATAGATTCTGTCTTTATAATAAACTTTTTTTTTCTAAAACTGTAATATTATTGTAGTTTTGTATTTGTTATAAAAATATAATCATATCATGCCATGAAAAAATAATTCATTTTTATATAATATATAATTGACAAAATTTTCGAAAAATTGCATGCTTGTATTTTAGTATGAGTAAACAACATCAGTACCTAATAACTATATATATGGCTGAAAGACGAAACCAATGGATATCCAGATAATTAACTTAAACTTTGCATTTCCTGGACTTTGTCGCCAGACATTTTCCAGAGTTTAACAACTCCTTAAAGAAATCCATGTTACACACAGAATTTTCAGAAAGATAAGCAACAGCTAGCATGTTTAGTTTCTGGGCGAATACTCCTAAATATAAATTAATAAGATGCAAACGAATTCCAACGTACGAAGACTTCATCGAGAAACATGTAATGATGTAATTCAACAGAAAAAAAAAGTTGGTCATTAGAAAGAGAGATCGATCGATCTGTCCAAATTATCTGCCGACGTTTGGAGATCGACCTGCAAAGAAAAAAAATTGCACATCTTCCTTCGATTAACCCCTACAAATTAAATTGAACTGATCAACGTCGATCGACAAGTATGTATATGCATTTTTCGACTTTTTAGTGACGTATCGAGAGTGACAGTTGTTCGTTGACCGTATGAACTCTTCTTCTACAAACTAATGAAACCCGTACACTGTCATACATCATGTACGCAAATAACGTGTACAGAGGGATTTCCCCCACATACAATACACACGCTCATCTTGACCTTAATTATGTCCCTGCAACGCCGTTTAATTAACAAAATAGTTATATTTCTGATTAAGCAGACACGATGGCATGATAGGAGAATGGAAAGAAAATCTGGATTTAATTAGTGAGAGTCAGTTAGTAGTTAAT